AAGTGGTACCCTATGATTTTCTGTACTTCTTCAATATTTTGTAATTTGTCATCTTGCAATGACTTTTTTGTTGCCTCCTCGTTTGCCAGGATGCCTAGTAGGAAGCTATTCAAAACAGCCCCTATCAGAATAGCAGCTTGAGTCAAACAAGAGCTATGACTATAGCCAATTTTAAATGTTCTATCATGTCTATTGCATTAAGTCCAGTAGAACAATTTCACCAGCGTAAATATAAAATCAACTGGAAGAAATAAATCTTAAGCAGAATGATTGTTGCTTGGTATCTTTTTATTCCCACATTCTACTGCCAGAAAAACCGCTATCTTTTCAAGCCTATTTGCACCTGAAAAGAAACTTTCTGACGAGGTGAGACAGTGTTTCCAAGAGCTGTAGTTTGAGAGTATTCATAAGAGAGTACCACCAGAAGTTACTTGGATCTTGAATTTGGTAAACAGCAGCTTTTCTTTGTCTCATACAGATAACTATATCAGTTTTTGTCAATTTTAAATACAAGGCCACCTAACTGCAGAAATTGAGTTGATTATTAAAGTACTAATGTCAATAAGAAAATAAGAAAAGCTTAAAGTTGCTGGAACTCCTATTTTCTGCCACAAAGGTGGAAACATATTTCATAAAGTAAACCAGCAGGATAAGATAAAGACAGTCGACAGCCACTTAAACAACAACAACTAAACTTCAATCCCAAACAAGTTGAGGTCGGCTACATGAATATTCACTTCTTTATTTAAGCTCAACTCATATAGCTCGATGTTACAAAACCACCTCAAAGTTTGCTGCAACAGCGACAGCACGTACACCTCAATTCCAACCTAGCTGATGCAATATTTGTTGCATTACAGCAAAATGAGAAATCAAATTTTAGGAGAAATTCATACCATAGTTTATTGTTTCTTCTCATGTATCTGCATTCCTACTTTTTCCACAGCAATTAACTAGTCTGTTGAAGAATGTAACAGGTTGAAGTCTTGAAGAATCATTCTGATACTACTAGTACAGCAGTTGCACCTGATTAGAATCAAAGCCATATTTTAGAGTTTGGGCCTTATGAGACGGCCCAATCTACTAGTAACTACCTAAAGTTTTTCATCTTATATTAAAAAAAATTATTTGGTAAAACTAATAGTAATAGAGCAGTAGCATAAGCTAGTAAAAGTAGAAATTTTTGAAACTTATGCTATGCTAAACAAAAGCCAATGAATGACTTAACTAACTGCTTGAAAACCTATAGTTGCAACTAGCAACTCATAGTAACATCCTTCTCTTCCTAAAGACAAAGAGAGGAGCCTACAGCATAGAGAATGATGAGATAACCCAAGTCGCGCACTGAAATCATTGCCATAATACACATATCATTTTTCTCGTTCTACTCTACTTTACTTTGAAGAAGTTGGAGCTTCAAAAACCTATCATACCACGTAATTTACAAACTGTAACGCCCAAAGCACAAATAACAGAACATCTCCATAGCTCCTTCACACTTAATCAAATATTACTTCAAATTGTCTAAGTGCTGGAAACGTTTCTAGTTCAAAAATTAAATATATGAACATAAGTCATTGTTCATGACAATTCAAAATATGGATTATAGCTACAACCGTGCTTGTGGTCAATCGAGGTGCGTGTAAGCTGGCATTAGCATCATCCAAAAAGAAATCCAGATATTGATTGGTTCAGCTTGCGAAGTTACAATTCAGCACTGGAAACAATTGCATTCAAATATTACTTTTCATCCGAAGAACTTTGAACCAAATTCTAATTTTTCAATTTACTTTACATATAACTCCCTAAATCCTTAGACACCCATCAAACAAACAAGAAACAGTAAACCTGCCTTATTATGAAAGATTCAATCTTTAAGCTCAGATATACATTTTAAAAGACAGACAAAAATCACTATGCATATTCGATTAAAAAAAAAAAGGAAACACAGATTAGACTTGCTAACCGTATTTCTGGATGTTTTGAACGAAGACCCAATTCACGGCTGGAGTGAAAAAGGAACGTAGCCAAGATCCCATTTGCAATTAGAGCATCTATTGATTTGTTCTTTTTGCCATTTCTTCTCTTCGTTTCCTTCCACTTCTACGCCGTAGACTGGAATCGTAGCAATTTAACTATCTGGTTGAAGAAGTTTAAGCTTGAGCCTTTGAGTTCTCTTTGTAAATTTTATGTGAAAAGAGAAAAACAATTTTTTTTTTTTTTTTTTTTTACAAATTCATTTTTTTCCCCTCTTTCTTCAAGTATTATTTTAGGGTCTGTTTTGAAAATACTTTTTACGGATTTTGGAAAATACTTATTAGGAAAATAAGTGATTTTCTTAATTATTTTAGTGTTTAGTTGGTGAGTGAAAAATATTTATTTTACTAAAAGAATGTTGATATAATGATTAAAACAACATTTTAGCTCTTAAACTAGGAAAGTATAGTAAATATAACAAAAAATTAAATATACTTTTTTTTAAAATAAGGTTGTGAATAAAATATAATGTAGCCAAGAGTGTGGCCTAGTGGTCAATGAACTGAACGAGAACGATGAGGTCTCAGGTTCAAATTTTAGCAGAGTCAAAAAATACAAAGTGATAGCTGACCCAGACACCACGGTAATTATTTATCTTTAAATATTGTACAAGCAAATGAAGATTTCTAATGTTGGAAGTACTTGATTTAAATTCCAACGAAAGTGAGTGCATATCCTCAAAAATTGAGGTTTTCATCCACCTTCAAATAATGGCTAATTAGCGTTTCCTGATTCTATATGACCCCTCAATTGTTGATCTTAAGGACATTCTTTTACTCTTTAATAGATTAAAGTAGCCTTCTTGTAATTCAAAGTATCTTTTGAACGTCTCTTTTCAAATGATGAAATTGCTAAGCCATTAGCTATGAAGCAAACATGAAACAAGAACTCCTGAACAATAGACACAAGAAACGAACATGCAAAAGTTTGGTTGCTGTCTCCTTTGGACATCTGTGACTGAGTATGGGACAATAATAAACACTGCTATCAGACCAAAAAAAAACATTTATTTCCCCTTGAGGAAATGTTCCATTTCTAACTCACAATGAAGTTTATTTTGCTCCAAGTGTTACAAATCAAAGCCAGCTTTCATAATCCTGTATGGAAGCATAATCCTGTTTTACTATCTTCCGGATATAAGATTTATTAGACCTTGGTTCCCATAGAAAGATCCAACATCCCAATCTTCTGTCGATGAAGAGAGTGTCATCAGCGCGACCACTATTGATCTCATACTTGGCCTTATTAGAGGATTTTCATGGGTGCAAGCTTTGGCAAGCTGCACCATCTGTAATGGAGAAGAAATGGACTTCTTTAAGAAGCAAAAAGAAACAACTACCACAGTTATCAATGCAAGTTTCGTTTAATCTTATACCTTGCGGACTGAATCAAGGGGATAGTCATTTCCAAGTCTTGGATCAACCAGTCTGCGAAGGTCTTCGTCAGGTTCTGGCTGATTAAGTACTTCTTCAAACTATGATCATCAGAAGGAAAAATAGGTATCACTATAAGGAAAAAGCAGGAGACAAGCAAAAGGAATGAAGAGCTTAGATATGGCCCTTTAAAGAAAGGTTCAGTTCAAGCCTGTGAAAGGGTTCGTGCAATCCGTATCATTGAGAAAAGAAAAATGCAAAACGATCTTACCAAACCAACAAGACCCTTTGATTCAGTAACAGATTCATTTGGCATGACTATTGCTTCCTTGGCTGAAATAAGTTCATATAGGACAACACCAAAAGCATAGACATCAACTTTAGGAGAGACAACACCATATTGAGCATACCTGCAAAATAGCATTGCGCAAATCCATTACATAAGGCACTCAGAAAACGCATAAATTAAAAAACGCCAATTTAAGCTTTGTGCAAAACGTTCATAAAACGTGGTCTAAGTTAGAACTACGCTTTTCCCCAGTGACCAATATCTAAAAAAGATGAGGATAAAGTTACATTGTTATGGAAACAACTTCATTCCTACTTTTGAGGCTGCACTATAAAATGGAAAGCACCTACTCCGGAGGCATGTATCCAAAAGTACCAACAAGTCGTGTTTGCAAAGATGAACTTCCAACTTCAGTCAGTTTTGTTAATCCAAAATCTGCCACCTACACCAGAGATGATTCACACAATTACAAAAGAACCTTCCTCAATGTACATACATAGCAAAAGGTGCCTTGAAAAACCTTTGCATGGAAGTTTTTGTCTATCAGAATATTTGCTGATTTAATATCACGATGGATGTAAACTGGTACGGTGTGCTCATGTATGTACTCAAGACCTCTAGCTGAATCCAGAGCAATTTGAACCCTAGTAGACCATGGCAATGGGTCCCTTCCTGGAAATAAATTGACCAGATTGATTAAAAGTTCTTTAAGGAACTATCACAAACTAACGGAAAAGTGGTTAACTATGACATGTGATTTAGTTCACATTAAAACTACCTGTACCACGCAGATGTTGGCCTATGTGGCCATTCTCAAGGTATTCATATACAAGGAAGAGGGAACCTTCAACACAGTAGCCTATCAAGCGCACCTGCACTCAATATCATTGGAAAGATAAGTCAAGCGTATATGAAAAGAAGGATTGCACCATATCATGAGTTTCAATGGACCATCAGTTTAAGACTGTTGAAGACCCTCGAACAAACTGCAAAACCCAATAACAAGTGTAACCAATCAACAGGAATGTCTGAGATGGCGCAACTTCTCTGCACTTACTTTAGGATATCAAATCAAGAAAACTGGATTTTAATCATCTCAAAGTGGTATCATATCCTTCCTGAAGTGTCATGCCCCACACCAAAACAAGATCCCACTCATCACATTATTAATTTATAATTAATCAACTTGTATTTAAGATTTAATTTCCCAAGCACCCCTAGCTTTGCTGCTGTTTGCAGCACCCCTTTCTTTTAGTCCTTGTTTCTCTTCAGAGCACTCTATGTGCACTTCAAGCAACTTATTTTGTTGTAAATGAATGACAGATGGTAATAACTAGATTACACTAAGTATAGGTTTCAAGGACCATTGCAAACATGAAGTACGTTCTGGGGCATTCACTTGACTTATGATCTATAATAGGATAGAAGTCTCAAGCAGCAAGACTGCCAAGTTAATGAAATCAATTGGCTTACATCATCTGTTTCAGTTTAGTCTATTGAATATATCGCTTTAGTATTGCACTGTAACACCCCGGAAAATTTCGAAGTTATGCGGACCGCATAGTGACCGCATGCACAGACAGTTCTTTTGGCTATTTTGTAACCAATTATGCGACCGATATGCGGTCCGCATATCGGTTATGCGACCGCATACCTTGTTCCGGAGCTCCATTTTTTGGTTTTTAAAACCCGACCCTATTTCGTTAAATACACTCTTAGGGTCATTTTTTTTGGCTTAAAAATGACCCTAAGAGTGTATTTAACGAAATAGGGTCGGGTTTTACTGGAAAAAAAAAATGACCCTAAGAGTGTATTTAACGAAATAGGGTCGGGTTTTAAAAACCCAAAAATGGAGCTCCGGAACAAGGTATGCGATCGCATAACCGATATCGGACCGCATATCGGTCGCATAATTGGTTACAGAATAGCCAAAAGAATTGTCTGTGTATGCGGTTCGCATAACTGTTATGCGGTCGCATAATGCACCGCATAACAGTTATGCGGTCGCATAGTCGACCGCCTAGCTGCTTCCAGAATGGCCCTCACCTGCTCACTTCTGCGGCCCGCAGAGTGATTATGCAGTCGCATAATGGACCGCATAAATACACTTTTCCGGCAAAAATTTCCCTTTACTTTCCCGTGCATTGTTCAACCCAAAAGTCCGAGCCGCGGCGAGCTCCTCAAACACGTAAGCCTAGTCCGGCACCATGAAATATTATTTTCTTTGCAAACTTTACCGGGCTTTACACTTAAGTACTTCGAAATTTTTCGGGGTGTTACATTCTCCCCCACTTAGGATCATTCGCCCTCGAATGAGGAAAAAAAAATCCGTCATTAACATCTTATGCAACTCAGTTTGTTTCATACCATATTCGAGCAGCCCCAAATTTGACTAACTCCCTAAATCTCCAAACATTTCGCCAGAATTTCCCTTGTAACTAGGCTTATCCACCTGTCAGAGAGCCCCAGAAACACATTCTAACAACATATACGTATTCCAACGACGTAACATAATACAAAACAACACCAAATGTGGTCTCATAAGCAATATATATCCAGAAAGGAACACCCTTAATGCCAATTGTTCACATGATACAAAATTCATAAAAAGTAAGTCTTATAATTTTTTTCCTAGATCACAACTTTAAATACATGGTTATTCAAACAAATAAGGATACTTTTTCTTCATTTCCTTCTCGGCCTCCCAAAGTAGCCTCTTCAACCTGTTGGTTTCGCCACAACACTTTAACGGAGACAATTTCTTTATTTCTCAATTTTCGGACTTGCCGATCAATAATAGAAACTGGAATCTCTTCGTAAGTCAATTTCTCATTTACCTCAATAGTCTCAACCGGAACAATGAGTGTCGGATCTCCAACTACTTTCTTCAACATAGACACATGAAACACCGGGTGTACTAATGACATCTCAGGTGGTAGCTCAAGCTTGTACGCCACCTCACCGATCCTCTAAATGATTTTGTACGGTCCGACATACCTCGGACCCAATTTTCCTTTCTTACCAAATCGCATTACACCCTTCATGGGGGAAACTTTCAAGAATATCCAATCATTTTCTTTGAACTCCAAATCCATACGACGAACATCCGAATAGGATTTCTGACGACTCTGAGCAGTTTTCATCCGCTCCTTAATGATTTTAACTTTTTCCATAGCCTGATGCACAAGGTCTGGCCCTATCAAATCTGCTTCTCCAATTTCGAACCACCCAACGGGAGATCTACATCTCTTACCATATAAAGCCTCGAACGGTGCCATTTGAATGCTAGCATGATAGCTATTGTTATATACAAATTCTATGAGTGGTAAATGATGATCTTGCCATATTTCATCATTAGGGGAACATCTATATCAGATTTCTCTTTCATATGACCTCCTAGAAATTGAGTTCTACAAAAATTTCCTTGATACGGTTACGATCTTATTAGTACTTACAACTTATTTCTTTCCAAATTTCTCAACAAAAGACATTACTAGGCCAGTTTTTCTTATGGGACCATCTGTTTCAAATGAATAACATCTACTAGCTTGCGCGCACACCCTGATAACATCAACCTGCATGGCATTGCCTCAATATGTGAAGTAACATCGTGCTCAGACCTTTCTTAGCCATCCGCTTTCCTCATTATAAGTCTTATAGGATTTTAAGAAACCACTATACTTCCCTGGTGAACATTCTCACGATTCCTCTTAACTGCTAAACACTTTCCAAAACACATATCGATACCCTTCATATATATTTAACCCGAACCGGGCCTTTTCTGAAACTTGAGATCCTCCTAAATTCTTCAACGACGACTTCTTGTTTTCCTTATAAGTGTAGGACTTAGTCCACCTGATTCTAATACGAACTATTTTGCGATAACCATGACCATCTCAATTTATAGGTTTTCTTCCAACTTTGCTCGCCTCATTCTCCCTAGTTATTGAATAGCTATGCGCCCTTCCACACGTTACGTGGTCTTTTCCCTTAGTTGGGAATTCATCCTGCTCGCCTCTCGACACTTGTTGGGATATCCGTGGGAAAGTGTGTTCATCCGTGTATCACTTAACGCTTCCTTGCTTGTAAGATTCTTAAAGGACTCTCCATCAAGTACCGATGCACTCTTGGGTTATTATAACATCACATTTATCTTTCCCACTCGTTCTGTCTTTCTTAAAGCCTTAGAGGTTTAGCTAAATCACAAATCCATGATTAACTCATTCTAAAAACTCGCAACCTTTCACATTTGACCTATATAACTTCCTTGGGTTCCATTGTTCCTGACCCCCTAACAAGTATAAAATCCCTTTGTAAACATACT